ACCAGTCCCTGGATCCAGCCCCAGAAATGGCCAAGGTGACTCTACAGATGGCACAGTAACCAATCCGATCCGGCATGCCAGTCGGCCAGTGACATGGGGAGATGTAAAGAACTTGAACGCCAAAGCACAGGCAGTGCAACAACAGCAACAAGTAGAGCAAATCCCCAGAACCTGTGTGCTACCATTTTTGCGGTTTTAACTGCAAATTCTTTAGCCATCATTTGTTTGTGTCTGATCATTAACATCTGCCCTTTGACAACAGCAACTGTCATCTCACCCAAACAATCATTCGAGCAACGAATGAAGCAAAATCTATGGGTGCAGCTGGCTAACATCACACAAAATAATGTCTTTTGCTTATCTGAAATGTATGACATTAATAATTTGCTTTCTATATGTTTAATCTGTTTGTACCCCTTCTGCAGTAATTCAAAACTTCACTGGCTTGAGCAGAATTTTATTCAATGGGAAATTTAACTATAAAGCTATATCTAGATGGGGGGTTACTGCTTATTATCCACCCCCTGACGCTATTGCTTTGCATACTCCGGTGGTAGCTATCCCTGCAATAATAACATGTGCAAAAATAGTTGATTGTACTTCTTCAAGTAAAAAACCTCACTTTCATCGCATTAGTTCACCTGTTTTAAACTGCACAGCTTTTGAAGAGACTTTCTTTCATTATGGACATATTTGGCTACTACAAGGATGGTTTTTCACATGTGGTCAAGAAACTTTTAATTATATTCCTGCTAATATTAGTGAAACGCAGTGTTGCTTCAGCCAGCTGATTCCTGTTTTGCTTTCCAAACAAGTTCACTCGAACCGTTCTCGACATGGGGTCACGCTAGACAGCACTTGTGACTCTGAGACGTTACTTAATAAGGCAGAATATGTGGCACTAACTATGTCTTTAGTGGGTGTGCCAGGACTTGCTATTCGTGCCCACCTCAACATTAGTGCTATTTCTTCAGCTATGTCAGCAATCAACCATGAACTACAAGATTTGAGAAAAGCTGTTTTGTAAAATCACGCTGCTATTGATTATTTGCTTCTGCGCCAACATTTGGGTTGTGAAGGTTTTGAGGGAATGTGTTGTTTTAATATTTCTGATAATTCACGAACCATCCAGCACCAGATTAATATTTTACACAATTTGGCCTCTGATTTGAAAATTGATACTTTAGGATCTTGGTGGATGCTGTTTTATGCCATGTATTCCTTCACTTTGCAATATATGTATCAGAGCTTTAAATCCCAGCAGATCCTCTCTCACATTGCCCCAGGGTCAAGTTTGGGCCCTATATAAACAACTGCAAGGATGCTCCTCTCCTGATTATAATCCTTTTATTAACCCCGCTTACAATGATATTTCGTCTAACAAAACACAAACGAGTGATATGTAGAGGTGAGGGACAGATAAAGGTGGTGATGGAAAACTGTCCCTCTGACGTGTGCCCCTCCTCTCTGCATCTAACTCCCCCCTTCACATCTCCATAGCGATGTGGAAGTGCGTAGCTCTGTGTGACCTTGCTTGTCTGATAACAGCTCGGATCAACAATATGTTATTGCCCACTTTTCCCCTCTTTCTGGCCTCTTACTTTCCATCCTTAAGCATTGGTGAGTAGATTAACCAATGCAGTGCTATTGCTAGGCTGTTGCCATGTTAAACCTTTTCCTGCTTGTAATACTGTATATAAAGAATAAACTGCTGCGTGTCAGCGGCCATTATTTGCACCCTGCAATGACTGAGCACTGATTACAACAAGCCCCAGCCTGTCTTTCCCCAGAGAGTGTACAGTATCCTGACTAGCAATATCCACCCTTCCCACCCGACCTTTCCCCACACAAAACCCTTGACCATCTTGCCCTCTTTGTTCCTCTCTCCCCTCCCCCCATTACCATCACTATCTAAAGGCTGTGCCACTAGTCTCCAACTATTAACTAACATGGAACATCCATAAGTGGAAAGTAGCAAACAAGAAAGCAAGTCTGGGCGCCCACATTAATAGGAGCTACAAAGTCAGAAAAACCACTAAAACCTCTATTTCTTTTTAGTACGTACATCTATGCTGTGCACAAACGTTGATACACAGATGAAAATGCACATCTTGTAGAAGCCTCTTTAAAATTCAAAAACTAATGAGACATTTAGATCAAAACTATTCTCAGACACTCACATATAGGCATTAATAGTAGTATCTATCATACATAGCGAACCCCACATTCTGTGACACAACCAACAATGTGCAATTAATAAGAAATCAATGGAATAATTATTATGAAATATAAAATTATTACTAATGTACAGAACTTTGGGGAAATAAAAAAGTGCCTTATTTAAATTTTCACACATATAAAGCAAGCTTACAGAAAAGGAAAAGATGTACAATTTCAGCTATGTCTCAATTATTTTAGTGAGCAATGTGATACACGTAGTCCTTGACTTACGACCGTTTGTTCAGCAACCATTCAAAGTTACAATGAAGTGGAACATAGGGACTTATGATCCATGCCCAAAGTTACAGGCATTGCATGCCCCCATAATCAAACTTCAGGTGCTTAGCAGCCTGCCCACACCTACCACCACAGGGGCACTTCAACTCCTTCCACTGCCTATACTCCCCCCCCATTCCCATCTGGCCCCCTGCTACCCTGTGCTCTGCTGCCCCAGCTGACCTTAATTTTTTTCCCCCTCTACTACTGACAATGTATGCCTGGTCTGGGGCCAGCTTTGTGCTGCAAAAAAGGGTCAAAGCAGCTTAAAAGGGGTATTTTGGTGGGCCACAGCACACCAAAGTGCCCCTTTGCACCATGTTCTGGGATGTATGGGGCTGGCTTTCTGCTGTGTAAAAGAAAAAGAAAAATGCGAAGCAGCCCCTTTCAGCAGCTGCTTCGTACTTTTTCCCTTTTGGCTCAGGAACACGGCGCATTTGGCATACTGCAGCTCTGGAACAGACTTGGTTCCTTTTTTTCCCCACCTTGAAGACAGTCCCAGCTCAGCCCAATAGCCATGGTGGGTAAGCAAAGGAAGCAAGAAGATGGCGGCAAAGGTCAGCTGGGGCAGTGGGGGTCTCAGAGTGCAGGATGGCGCGGGCAACTGGAATGGGAGCAGCTGCAGCTTCCCAATGCGCAGGGTACAGGACAGCCCAAAACGCAGAGATTAGAAGGGGGGCGGAGAGGGAGAGCTAAGCAGGTTGGTGGAAATTTACCTTATTGAGGCTCAGGTCTGGGAGGGACAAATCCTGCAGTGGGTCCTTGGCTAATGACCAGTAAAATTTGCTTAACAGCAGCAACAAGAATCACCAGGATTGCAGTCACTGAGTAATGCGGTCACATTACATCACTTTATGATTGCATCACTTAGCGATCAAAATTCTAGTCTTAATTATGGTCATAAGTTGAGGACCACCTTTATCAAGTTCACTAACATTTTTTAAACTATCTTTTTTCATATAAGTCTAGGGGAGTAAAAGGAAGAATGTCCATAGACAGTGGTAATTCTGGACAATAATATGAATCACCCATAGGTAAATACCAAAATATGCTATTGTTGTGCCTTTCCAATCAATTTGTGGAAAACTGTTCTATTGTCTCTGTGTCTGTATTGTTTCTGTGATATTTTTACATGAGTATGCGTTGTCTATGGTTATTCTTCTTAAGATTTCCTTCTCAGGACAGGTTGAACAGCATCAGCTCGTCCTTTCTCTTCAAAGCTAATAGCTATAAACTACTTACAAAATTACAGTGGTTTCCCAGGAATCAGCACCTGTTTTGCAGAGCAATGAAAAACCCAGAATTGCAATACATTATGTATGTCAGTCCAAAAATGCATGCCAGACAAACTAGTTGCTACTCTAAAAGCTCTATAGTTCAGATTTTCCAACTTCAGAGATCAAAGAACCTTTGCTGGATTCTACCCATAGGTATTTAAAAGAAAGTCTAAGTTTAATGGAACTTATTCTCAAATGTGCACATCTTAACATGACCTTCAAGTCATCTAGAAAAGCTTCTCTAACACTAACTGCACCAAACTACAATACCAAACAGAAAAGGAATGAGTTGGAAAAGGAACACCAGACTGTTCTAAGACTCTTGAATATGTATCCAAAGTCAACACCACAAAGGATTCCACAAAATTTTAAAGCAAAGCAAGCACTTAAATGAAAAGTTTGAACTGCAACATTTCACCCATTCAATTGCCACCACCTCTCCCCATATACCTTGCATTCAGATTTCTAACACCAGACTGTGCCCTACCTGTCCAAAGTCCTGTCATGGCAAGCTGAGTGGGAGAAATATACAGCAAATCCACTTACCATATGTGACTTTGAACTGAGTTAGGCCACATTAAACCGAGTAGAACTTTTATCCTGCTCATCAGCCTCTCACAGAAGGAAGCCCCTTTATCACAATGCCCCTGAGCCAAGCAGCTCAACTTTATCAAATATAAAACACCTGAATATATAAAGTTCATTAAGATTCTAAAAAGCCCCAGTAGACACCTGTTTAAAACTCTAGCTGGGAGAAGAAATAAGTCACACAAAATAACTAATATAAAAGTAGCTTCCAAAACTAGAAAATTAGATGTCTTGTAACAATAGGCACCCAAACAGTGAAACGGCAAAAGAAGAGGAGCAAGAACAATTTAATCCCCCATATAAGCCTGTTTAGCAAAAAAAACAGCCTTCAGGCTAAATGGACTGAACTGTTTAGGCTGCATGCCAATGTGCACTTCTGGTTGCTGGTTTTCTCACAATAAGTTTTAAAGGGACTTCCCTGATTAGATGCTGGTTTTCTTTTCTCCACAAGTCACTTCACCAATTCTGCCTCACTCTGTAGGGACAATAAATGCCAAAATACCATGTCCATCTGTCAAGCAGTCTATAACTACAGTGCTATAAACCAGAACATGGAGATATCGAGAGTAGAGAGGTGAAAGGACTCGGTGGGAAAGAAAGTAGAGTTCAAAGGAAAGACCAGGAGGCAATCCAAAGCATCCATGCAGTCTCCTATATGGCTTAAGTTTCAAGACTATACAGTAAAGTTTGGCAAAGTAGTGGAGAACAATTTTTTTTGAAGGAATCGTGAGGATGTGATAAAGGAAGTACTCTGGAAAGATAACTGAAATATCAATTTCAATGGAAAAAAGTAGGAGTGGAACACAAGGCTTTGTTTTTAGCACAGGCAGCCTTGTGCCCACTGGGGACATTACTTCAGAAGAGATGTTATCAACCCATATAAGGTGATTGGGAGAAGGGCACAACAAAAAGATGGATAATTTCAGGCAAATTCTGGTAGATGGTTTTCATGGGTAAATTCAGTAAGAAGCTAAAGTCTCATTTTCAGTCACAGGAGATCAGCCAGATGAGGACATCTCCTCGCAGGAGCTTGCAGCTACCTCAAGGTTGATGGAACCATCCGCTTAGGAAGATGCTGTTCCTCGGCTTGTTCCTTCTCCACCTTGTCTGAAGGGAGCTGCTGCCAGCACTGCCTGCCTCCAAAAAGTGGGCCTTCCAGGCGGACGTGAGCATACTGGGAAAGCTTGGGGTCTACCATTGGTAATGACAACTGAGATTGGGGCAAAACGTGAGCTTGGCACTGAGCCATGCTTCTTGTTCTGCACAAAAACTGACCGGATGAAAGAGAACCTGAAGAATCAGGGGGGACTTGCTCTCCTGAATGGAGAACCCCAGATCCTGATTCATGGGTTTCTTTAACATCAGCATGACTTTCCTCCATATCCTTTGAATCATATTCCTCGGTCCCCTGGCTAAACTCCTCGTTAGTGTTAGAAAGTTTTTCTTCTTTAATGTCACATGCTACTTCCCTATGAAACCTTGCCCAGTCCAAGGGAATTCTCTTCCCGAGATTCACTACCAGGCTGCCCTGATTGGCCACGCCCGGGCTTTCAGGGCCATTGTGCATCTTTGTAAGAGAGCAGTCTTGCTGGGTCTCGGAGTGGCAATTCTTGTTTATCAAAGACTGCCTGAGGTGCAATACAGGCAACGGAGGAAGCAGACACACCAGAGGCTGCTTACGGAGCTTGCATCCACGTGCTCTGCAGGCCAAGCAGTTGTGCAGCGGGATGTGTAAAGGCTTCAGCATCTTAAGATACCAGCGAGTGGTATATCTGTGTACAGCACCTAGAAAAGGAAAAGAGATAATCAATTATGAGAATGTCCCTCCTCTTATTTATTTATTTATTATTCAAATTTCTACCCCGCCCTTCTCCCAACGGACTCAGGGCGGCTTACAGCCATTTAAAACAGGTACATGATACAAAATACTAAATTTAAAATGTAATTAAAATAGAATATTAATTATTGGCCTTTTCTTATTAAAATTATTTTAAAACCAAATTAAGATAACCCTTAGGCCAGTCCTGCTNTGTGGGAGCGTATCGGCCGATGAGAGGTAATCTGAGGCAGAAGGCGGTCTCGGAGATAACCAGGTCCGATGCCATGGAGTGCTTTAAAGATGATAATCAGCACCTTGAAGCGCACCCGGAAAGCCACCGGCAGCCAGTGCAGCTCGCGCAACAGCGGCGTTACATGGGAGCGACGAGTCACTCCCATCACCGCCCGCGCCTGTTTCTTCCCAGTTTCATCTTATTTAATACAGCTGCCGTATTGTCACTACACAATAGGCAATTTCCATTTCTCCCTGGATTTTTCAAGGGCTCTAAAAAGATGAATTGAGTGTATGACGGCTTCACCACCCAACCCTGACCTTCCATAATCCTATAAACTCTTTCTTTGAACATGTAAATATTTGACTCTTAAAACAGGTCTGGCATACCAGTAGGTAACCTCACTGTACTTGTCAGCAGTCCCACAGAGAAGCTGCGCATTTTCCTGAAATCACACAGTACGCTCAAGATCCCAGAAAGGAGGCAGGAACAGAGTAGTATATATTTCCCGCTTGGGAGCCAAATATCTCAACATTGCTTACATTTCCCAATGCAGGAACTATAATATTAGGTTACCCAATTAGTTCTGCCAGGCTTTAATCTAATACTGTAGCTAGAATAGTTTTTGAGTATCCATTTTAATAAAGAAGAAATTACTACTTTACTTTTGCTACCACAAAAGAAGTTGAGATAACTACTGCTGTGGAACCCTGGGGCTGACAGGGCTGTAACAGAGTCCTCATTCTAATGGACATTATGATGTTACAGGGGAAATGCAACCCATATTGCCCTGCACAGCACTATGATGCACAAAATCCATTCCAGTTAAGTATTTTTGCATATCTCACCATGTAATTGTGATTTCCTGCGCCGGGTTTTGTGTCCCGCTTTCACATTACGTTGAGCATGTTTGCAAGACTGCTTTTTCCACCTCTGCAGACGGCCATCTGTCTCTCTCAGTAGGTATTTCTCATTGACTGAGGTAGCTACCAATGGTGTCTGATTCAGGAGGCGAAAAGCTCCTTCCCCCTTCCTAAGAAAAAAATTGAGAATGAGAGGCAGTATCAGGAGCAGCCCAGCATTAATCAAAAAGATTACTGTTTACTCAAAATATTTATACATCCTTTTCTACCCTTGGAGAAAACAAACTGCAGGGCACTTACCAAATGCATGCAAAATCAAGACACGATAAACTTAACACTAAGGATGAAGAGATTTTACACTGTTGAACTCTGTGTCAGAACAGTTATAACTTCCCTCTTTCTAGCTTTTAGATGTTATCATTGATCTTTCCAGGGCTCTTGTGATAATAGAAGAAAAATACTGCCCCTCCCCTTTCAAAATCCTAGGCTCGCTAGCAACCATCCCTTGAGAACTAAGGCTTGTTAACACCTGGGCATTAAGCAGTCTGCACTTCTTGCCAGGAATGATTGCCGAAAACACTTGAAGATGGGGGCAAGAATTAATGCAGATTATCATTTGGTTTCCTTTTCCTGCAACTGTTTCTCAGAAACTCAGAAATCCAACTCCCAACATTTGAGATTGCGCTCCCCTCCATTTTCACCTTTCACAAGTGTGGCATTCGCATAATTCATTGTTCTCCCCAAAGAAGCCGTCGCCATAGAAGCATGTGATCTCATCATCTGGCTCAATGTCCCGCAGCACCTTGACACAAGCCGTGTTCCCATCCATTGGGACAAACTGCAGGACAAACAATGGGTTAGGGGTAGAAAAAGCAGGAAAGAAAGGCTAGCCGGGAAAGAAACATCAACTCTTTCTCAAAGCTATTTGTTCAGACTTCTTACGCCCTTGTGGAACAATTTTGCAAAACAGGATATCAAAGAGAATTTGATTTCTTCTATCCTAAACAATAGAAAACTCTATCATATTTCCAGTTTCCAAGACCGGAAAAAAGTCTTGTACCTCCAGTGAAAAATGAGAAGATTAATGAGGTAAAGTTCCTAGGATTACAAAGAGATACTTTTCTACCTCAGGCAATCACAACTCCTCCTAAGTGTTTTCCAGACACTACTACAGTATATTGTGCTCCTGGTCTATTTCAACCTCTCCCGAAATATATTCCCTCTCATTCCTATTCACTCTAGTCAGTAATACATTTAGGCCTCATCCCAAGTTCAGAGTCTCGTATTCTAACGAACAGCATCCCGTGCCCCAACAATAAGTCAACACAGCTTACCTTACAGTTTGGTCTGCAGTCTGATTAGTTGCACAGTGAGCAGGAATTACATTTTGGAGGGGAACAATAAGAAGAAAAAGGGAGATTTTAAAAAAGAGCTAAATATGAATTACAAGTATTCCTTCTTAGCAGAAGCTGCAGCAGAGAAAACGTGCTCATTTTTTCAACAGGACATTTTGCTTTATCTAGAAGCATTTACAAATCTGAATCAACTGAGTAGGTGCAATGCAAATTATGGAAATCCAGCCGAAGAAAAGTATTGTATTTGGCTTAAATCCTCAGTTTTCCACGTTATGAACTCAAGGCGGCATATTTGACATTTGTATAAGTACATTATCGTATCAAGCCTCTCTCACTCAATAAAGTGCAAAATAATTGTGCCTTATGTCTTACACCTTTAATGAAAATTTTAAAATACTGAAAGGAAGTAAGTTTTTCTATGAGTTCTGTGGCCGAATAAGGAGAAGTTTCCAAGAAAGTTCAATTCATTATTGCCTTTTGCTGTTAAATTCTGAACCCTAAGTCTATCAGATAATCCCTTGGTCATCTGAAAACCTTACTAATGCAGCATTTCAAGCAATTAACTAAGGAAGTTTTCTTAACAGACTATTGCCTCACAAATAGGTGGTAAATAAACATCTCCCATTTTGGCTATCTAGAAATGTGAAAAATAAATAATAAATTTTAGAACAGCTTATTATTCTTAATGCCTTTTTATGCCTAATCTTTAAATGAATGAGACACAAATTTAAGATTAATTTTTTAGAGAATCTGGTTCCAGCTTCAAAAAAAGTAAATAGTCCTCTATTCAACATAAAACATACCATCCTGACTAGATTTTCAAATGCATTTAGGATAAGAAGTTCCTTAGACCAGTGTTTCTCAACCTTGACAATTTTAAGGCATGTGGACTTCAACTCCCAGAATTCCACAGCCAGCAATGCTGGCTGTGGAATTCTGGGAGTTGAAGTCCACATGCCTTAAAATTGTCAAGGTTGAGAAACACTGCCTTAGACAGTCCTTTTTCATCAACCCTTTCGCAATCAAAATTCTATCAAATTCTCAATTTCTATAGCAGTATTCACATGATTAAATGTCCCTCACTATGAAAGCTGACACAAGAAACAGCACCAAGCAATTTTAATCTACAGGCCACCTACATTGATAGTTAGCACCCACATTTCTCCCAGTTACTAAAATAATCACAATTCTTGGGAAATACTTAATTTAGAAAATAACAGATAACAGATGCACATACAGAGTGACGTGACTAGGCCACTGACTACAAAGAAGCTGCTTCTGTCCAGTCATTAACTGGGCAGATAAGTAGGGACATTTGTATTTCTTTGGAACAAATTGTCCTTCTTTAAGCCTCAATGCCTTTAAATTTCAGCAATTCTACCAAAGAAACAACTCATTGCAACCACAATGCCTTTTTTCTTTTCCTTTTACTAAAATATAAACATATCTCAAGAGAAACCATGTTAGTAGGAACAATTCATCTATAGGTTATCCAAAGACAATGACTGTTATAATCAGTAATAAAATATGCTTTAGCATTATTACCTAGTCAATCATATTAACTAGGAAAATATATTCATTTTCCTAAGAGAAAACTGAAACAGTATACAGACATCAAGATAAAAATATTTTTTAAAATATTTTGTCAATGAAAAACACTGCAAGTTTTGGCAACCCAATTAAGTTGTTAAGTATAGAGTGTTGTCTGTCTTTGTGTCAAAAGCACCTACAAAGCTAACTGAAATGAGATGATTAATTCTTAATACTGTAATTAGGATCATGCCGATCTGGGGACACTCACACTGCTCCAGTGGCAATTCTGTAAAGAAGTTGTGTCTTTCCCTCGTTTCACACAGTAGCCCAAGAAAAGCCACACTGGATTTAAAGAAATGTCAACAAGTCTAATGAGCACTCCCATGTGAGCTCTGAATAATATATTCTCAACTGAATCCTGATTGCTGTACCGCCCCATTAATGACAACTGCATATTTGCTACATACCAGTCATCACTACTGTTTGGTTCTGATATATCCCTATTGGTACCTATAGAAAGTTCAATTTCCCAAATAACTGACTAGAATATCTAGAATATTGACTGGAATATCTCTGATCTGGGATAGCTATCTTATTTCTCCTCATCAGTTAGTCTAAGTAATAAGACCGGTTATATAAAACTTACCATTATCATTTTCATAGCAATTTAAACAGTTTGAGGCAACTACCTCTCTAACTTGTACCTGAAGGCATCCACCTACCATGATTAATGAAGGCTGCAGGCCCTAGCCAAAGCTGGGCACACTGTTTCCGGGTGGAGTACATGATGCTGAAGTCATTTTCACCTGCTCGGAGGAGGCTCTCATCGGGTTCTGTCAGTTCTGCAATGTAGCCCTCTAAAAGCTCCAGTTTATCATTCTTTCTCCTTATGGGAGAGGAAAAAAATAACCTTACCTATCCAGAGGATTATGCTGCTGTAATCTTAAGTAAAATATGCAAAAGCAAATGCATGGCTACTTTATTATCCACTTCTTTGCATGCTGGTTGGTATAATCCAGCGTGCAAGTTAATAATTTTGCCACATGGGGAAGCAGTAGTACTATGAACTTACCATGACTTTGTAGACACTACCTGGGCTCCATTTATTTCTAAGGAATATCGACTACAACGTCTGATGGCAAAACCGCTCTCAGGAAGGAAAATGCGAAGGTACCGAAAAATCTGGGGTGGGTATGGGGGGAGAGGGAAGAGAGGAAGGAGTATTAGATATGTTTGCTGCCTTGAGTTGTTTATAAAAAATAATAAAGGTGCAATATAAATAAATAAAATAAAATCACTGCAAGGGAGTTAATTGAAAGAATCAGTGGAGAGAGTGAACTAAGTCAGACAATGCTCATATCACTTCTATGAATATGTTTACTCTCTTCCCGTATAAAATGTATCTCACTATAGTTGTAAACAATTTTCTTTCTATCAAGCTCACATTCACATAAGTTGAAGATGCTTAAAAACATCAAAGCCAAAAAAGATAAAAAAGAAGAAAATGATACTTCTTGGTCCTTTCATCCACAGCCAGCCTCTGTGGACCTTCACTGCCAGCTTGTGTTACAAGTAACAGTCAAGTAAAAAAAAAAAGATTATAGCCTAATAATTTTATGTCACTTAATTACAAAGTTCACGTAGGCTGTATGTGGCCAGAGCACTAATACATTTAATTTGGTCTAGAGAAAAGGAAGGCATAGACTAGGTTAGGATAAGTACTTTTTTCTAACTTCCATATATTCTTAGAATATGCCCCATGATTCACTTTTAATAATAAATAACATGTTATGGAACAGCCTTTCCAAACCTGATTGTTTGAGATGGTGTTAAATTAAACTCCCACCACCCTAACTGCCATGCTGACTAGGATAAGAGCCATAATGTAATAATCCAAAAGGAATGAGATTGGGATGAAAAAGTCTATATAAATAACTTTTTCAGATTTCAACATGCTCTCCAGCCATTAAAAGGTAAAAACCAGGATTGTACATGACTCTTGAAGGCAGCTTCCTGCTGATGGCTCCGGTTTGCAAAATACTGGCAGGCCCAGCCACCCTGCATCAAGGCTTGATATGCTGCTTCTAGGTCCTTGCGCTTCCGGAAAGCTTCTACTGCCTCCCGTAAATGGTGCTTCCTCCTGATGGCTGGGAGTGGGCTATAAAAATAAAAGAGGAAGAATTCCTTTTGTAACATATTTCTTTCCTCATTTTGGGTAGTCTTTGACTTACGACCATTAGTTCAGTAACCATTCAAAATTACAACGGTGCTAAATGGACAAGTTATGGTTGTTGCATCCCTGCAATCATGTGTTCAAAATTCAGGTGCCTGGCAGCCTATTTGCACTAGCAATCACAGAGGTGCTGCAACTCCCCCCATTCACCTATCTCAGCTGCGCAACAGTGCTTGCTGTAGCACAGGAGGCCTCTGCCAGATACACAGCCCACCAACAATCAAACTTCTGGTCCCAATTGTGGTAAGTCAAGGACTACCTATACTCTCTATCCTCACCACTTAATATCCAAAGATATAAAAAATCTATCTATCTATCTATCTATCTATCTATCCATCCATCCATCCATCCATCCATCCATCCATCCATCCATCCATCCATCCATCCATTCCCACTTTACGATCTTAATTTTCAGACTTATTCCATCTCCATTCCTACTTCTTACCTTACATTCATTTTATGAGTCCTAAAGCCAAGGTAGGAGTCAAGAATTAGCGTTGTGGCAAGGTCATCGTTCTCACATAGTTCTTTTGCAGTTAACCGAGTGGAGCCCATCTTCTTTCTACAACCATACTGTTTTCAACTCTGCTAGCCACAAGAGAGAAGCAAGACAGACAATTAAAGTAAAATACACAGAGAAGTTGGGAATCTGAATGAAAACTCCAATAAAAGCAGGACTATCAAACATTAAAATAAGTAGATTCCCTATGACCTCTACCATAATTTAACTTGCTATTTGCACATACACTGAGATTTCTTTTTTCAAGAAAGAACCTTTATTAGAATGGTTTTAATAAACTAAAATTAATTTAAAAACTAAAAAATAGCATTTTGCCACGTTTGCTCATATTGTTTGTACTATCTTGATGTTTCCATTGTGCCTTGCAATTTTTATAATTAAAGTATAAGCCAAGAAACAGTTTTTATACCTGTAGGTTAATCAGTAACAAACTGAATTGATAAACAAAAATTATTTCATTATGCTTTATATTTTATGTAACTTTTTAATATTGTGACAAATCTTCTAGTGCCACTTTATTAAGCCTGAGGCTCATGTAACTTTCATTTGATCTGATCTGATCTGATCTGATCTGATCAACAAAACAAAATTCTCCATGGCCAGGGGGAGAGCACTGCAAAAATCTCTACGAAACATTATCTTAGAAAAATGTTTTTAAATCATACTACATAACTCAAAACATGAAATACAAATATTTTTATGGAGGAATCTAGACTCTAAAACCTTAAATAATTCTTCCTGTTCTATCTTCCTCAAATCGATGCCCTCCATAAAAGGAGTTAAAATCCATTCTAGAGGGAATATTTGGGATAGATACCCAGCAGGTGGCAGCATCTGACTAACTTTTGTAAGGCTCACAAGACAAGCAGGGGTTGGACCTGGTTAATCCTAGATAGAAGAATATCAGCAATCCCTGAGATGTAAACTAGATTGGGATGTCAACGCAACATTGTAAAGAAAATGGCAAACCACTTGCATCACCAAAAGATGAATTTGACCAGAGAGACTACATTTTAAAATACAGAAACATTCAACATCTATTTCTTGAATTCTAGCCTCCTTCTAGTTCTGGAGATACCGGAACTAGAAATATTCCAAACCTGCTGATGCCTAGTCTCCTCATTGTTGATGCATTTTTCACTTCTCTCTCGAAACAGTTGTGACACAGATATATAAGACAATAGCTTAGGACCAAAACTTAATATTTTATTAATATTATCATTAGCAGTTTATGTTGTACTATAAACTGTATAATTCATGAATATATATGTCTGAAAATAAAACATTCCAGAAATTTCAGGATTTCTCCCCTGCATCATATGTTTCTATGAGAAGGAGCAGAGAAATAAATATGTAATTGTTTTTTTCTCCAGGATGTCAAAATGTCCAAAGAATTTAAATTTCTAATTTGGTCCCAATCTGTTAAAAAATTCTCTCTCCACTACTTCTTTAAAACTTCCAAAACTTTTTATACTACTCAAAAAACTCACTTTATCACCCCCTACAAATGATATTTCTACATAGTTCACTGCTTAACAGTGAATATTTAATGCCAAGAAACCCTATAAAATGAAAACCCAATCCCACTCCAAAAATCTCCAAAAATCAAGTACATTAGGCACTCTTCAACAGGAATCCTCAAATATTAGTTGGTTTACCAATCAGGCTCATTTGGTGCTTGTTATCCCTACTTCCAAAGTTGTTGATTTCGATAGACGGAATGTTCCCCTGTCTTCACTGAGAGATGAAAAAAACACAATAGAAACTGCATTGCTGTTTCTCAGATTCATCAGATCCCTATCAAGGACTTTCTTGGTAAAAGAAATGGACCTCCTTCACCATTCTTCCCCAGGATGGCTAGAATTGCTGGTTTGCGAATACTTATTCTCCAAGAGTTGAGGCCAGAATAGTGCCAGCAAAACCATTTATCCATTAGAATAAGAGATAATGCTGCAAATTGACTCTAGATTCATATAAAAATGCCAGAATTCCTCTTGTCTCCCGATAGCAGTTTGCACATACCAGATAGCTGATCCAAATACTATGTATGTATATATCTATTTATCCACTCACTCAGGCCTATACACTGCTTTAGTCATAAGACTCTAAGCTTACATTTCCAATGAAATGTATTAAAGTGTTACAGCGTCCTGAGTGAGTAGTACACCATCACCTCAGTAGTGGGATTCAAATATGTGAACAACCGGTTCTCTGTGTGGATGCCGCTCACGGAAGTCCATTCTGGGCCTGGGCAACAAAAAAATTAGCTACCGGTTCTGCCAAAGTGGTGCGAACCGGCTGAATCCCACCACTGCATCACCTCTTTCAAGGCAGGCAGAACCACCCCCTTTCTCAAGGATGTATTCGTTACTTCTCTGATCCAGCTTCTGTCAGCTCCTTAGAAGCCTTCACCAACCAGGAAAAGCAAGGATCCAATCAACAAGTGGCAAAGTTAATATCACTAGCACCCTAGCTATTTCCTCAGAGCTAACAGAATCAAACTCATCCCAGTTAATTTTACAAGACCCCTATTTCTTGCAATAGACTTGCCCGTTCGGCTTCTAACTGAATCAAAAGCAATTTATATTCCAGATATACTTCAAATGTCTTCACTCTTTTTAGTCTGTATTCCTGGTAGGATTCTTATTATGAAAACAGTATCTTCAGGTTTTGCAAGAGAACATCAATTGCTCAGTTAGGAGAATCATGATACTGTGAAAACTATACTGGGATATCAAGTCAACATTCTTGTCAAGCCTTTGTTTCTAATTAACCAACTCCCTGAGCAGTTGTGTAGTACCAACAAGTCTTACTGGATTACAGCAAAATATACTGTAAATCAGGGATTCCCAACTGGGGGTGCGAGACGATATTCCAAGGGGTGCAAAAACTTGGGTTTTCAAAATTATGGTTTATATGCATAATTCATTGCCGTTATTTTGAATGTTTATAAGGGGTGCAAGAAAAGGTTGGGAGCCGCTGGTATAAATGCAAATCAGTTAATGTGGGTTTTTTGGCTGTAATATAGAAGTGAGTTGCTGCTGCCTTCTTTCGTTTGCAACTTCTCAGACTATCCTATAGCTATAGTTTCTATTCAAATACTAGCCAATCCCAACTATACGTATCTTCCAAGCCCAGCCAGGTGTTGCCTCCTACTTAGTCATATGGCTAAGAAGGCCAAAGTAATAATTTGAAGTGAGAGAATAACTATACTCACCTGAAATGAATACCTATGGTTAACTCAGGCATGTCAAACTGCCGGCCTGCATCACACCGAAACCGCACCCACCCCATTGCCAGCAATGGGGAAAAAGTCCCGATACACCGCGCGACATCACGTGACATTGCGAGTTTGACATGCCTGGGTTAACTGAACCACAATTTATTCAGCCTAGTTCTCTGGTTTAACATGACACACTGAACCACAAACAGGATATTTTTAGCCTAGCATGTTGAGCAGAGCCAATGTATGCGATTAGTTCATGGTTTAATTATGCTGTATGAAACGATAAAATAATATTCTGGCACAGATGACATAAAAAACAAAATTCATGTAGTTTAAAAAGTCAGGAATTTGGGGCCTGAATGCCAGAAAAAATAGTCTTACAAGTTATCCAGACCTATGCAATTCCATATCTTACACTGAAATTGTTTGAAATTCATTTACTCATATGCAAGTTTTTACTTGTACAGATGTGCAAAGTACTATAAATCCACTGTACTAAACTGAATAGAGATTTTCCTCTTTCTACACCACTATATCTATTTTAAGGCAGAGTTGTTGAAACTTTTTACTTCTTTGCCACATATAGTAAGTACTAAGCATTTCTCAAAAGTATTCTTCAAAAGAGATAGGGTGTTAATTAAAGATTGTCCTACTCTATTTGTAGGGAGCTCAAGTCTATTTACATGCAAATTCCTGTTTCATAATCTGGGCCAGAGAATTTCCTGGCTTTAGTTTTCTGAATTATAACAGGCTGCAGTTTCTTACTTTTCTTCTCCCAATTCCCAGCAATGCCATAAGAAGAAAATAGCAGTTAGTCACCGGGAGGGCAGAATTTCTTGGGAATGGTTATATTAGCATTATATAATTTAAATAAATTAGCATTTATATGAGTAGATAAAAAGCAATACTTCCTAACCTCGCACTTTTCAGATGTAATAATTAGACTAAAATTTGTAGAACAAGTATGACAAACTATAACCCTAAGATTCCTCTGACTGCTACTGCTGAACACTTGTGGCAATATTTGTTACCATATGAGATACAAAGCTTGAAATTGCATGTCTTACAGTAAGCTTAACATAGTTTTTAAAAAACAAACATCTTTAAAAACCAAAGAAAAATAGATCCACACAATTTGCATCATTGTTTTGTTCATCATGTTGTAGGATTCCCTCAAAAGATTAAATAAAGCTCTACGCCACCAAACATTGCTCAATGCACATCAGGAAGTGCAACTATGCCACCCCATTGCACCTCAGGAAGGCATCAGGTTGGGGCAAAGAACACAGAGTCAAGACAGCATGTTTGCTATTTCCCAATATATGATTCTGTCAACCTATTTTTCAAAATTGTTTCAAATCCTCTTCAGTCCTCTTACTTAGCTTGTCTATCACACATTAACCAAATCAGAGTTTATTGGGTAAACTATATTTGGTTCCATTCATACGTCACACTAAACAGCAGAGATACCACATTATGGCTGTTTGCACTGTATGAACAAAATTACTGAGATATCTTTCTTAACAGTATATTCACATTATTAATTTTGTTTATGAAATAAGATGCACTACCATACAGTTACTGGATAAAACATAATATTTCAGGCTGCTATGAAGGGAAAAGCATTATGATTCCATATACCTGAGTCCTTTTCAGAAGGAGTAGACATCAAATCCAGTGATAACTGTGCACATATCAAAAAGAAAATTCTAGAAAAAAGAATTACTGGTGAGCAAGAAAGTGCCAATAGAAGAGAATTATTTATAGCTGAATGTTGGACTGTGGGGACCTTGGTGCTTTCTGAGCTTGGTTATTTTCCTGCAGATATTTCATTACCAAACTAGGTAACAGCAGGGCAGAAGAAAGTTCTGAATATGAAACAATTGGGACAAAGTTTACTCCCGTTCTTCAAACAGCCTCCCATGCCAGATTGCTGTGCTAACATTTGTGACTTATTCATTTATGAAGATCTAATTCAATTATCTTTGCTTATATTTATCTATAATTTCATTATTGGGGGGGAACAACTCTGAAGACCAAAATCAAAACAGCCGCTTGCCCTTTAAAGTGTTCTATAACTGTCCTAACCATCGAAAGGTATAATCATCCACCACATAACACACATTGAAGAATCAACACATATCACTTGTTTTTAATACACAATAGTAATTTTAAAAGCTTCAAAAAAGCTTTAAAACCTGCCTCAAGTAGCAACTTTATCTATAGCAGCAGTGTGTGAGACTGTACAGGTGGTCCTTGACTTACAACCATTCATTTAGTGATTGTTTGAAGTTACAATGGCACTGAAAAAAAGATTTATGATCATTTTTCACACTTATGACCGTTGCAGCATCCTCATGGTCACGTGATCAAAATTCAGATGCTTGGCAACTGTTCATATTTGCAAACAGGTGCAGTGTCCCAAGGTTATGTGATCACCTTTTCTGATCTTCTGACAAGCAAAGTAAATGTGGGAGCCAGATTCATTTAACAACTGTGTTACTAACTTAACTGCAGGGATTCACTTAACAACTGTGGCAAGAAAGGTTGTAAACCGGGGCAATACTCACTTAATAAGTGTCTCACTTAGCAACAGAAATTTGGGGCTCAATTGTGATCGTAAGTCGAGGACTTCCTCTGTGTATAATTGGCAAGCGCTTCAAATTTATTATTACACTGGATTCAGGCCCCAAGTGTAACACAGTTAATTGTGGATAGGAAATTTCTGGACCAACTCTATAATGGGAAGATATTTTAACCCAGAACTAAGAAAGCAAAGTGAAGAGATGAGAGCGGTAGCTGATGCAACGGACCATGTGACAGATTTGAAAAAGAAAAGCATCTGATTGGCTACCACCTTGAGTTATTTGTAAAAATAAAGGTGGGATACAGACAAATAAAAACTACGTCTAATCAGACTTTACTAACCTAGTGTCCCACGGATGCCTTCAACTAAAAACTGTTTTAATGCTATTGAGAAGGCTGCTTAAAAAGCAAGGGAAGGCCAGTATGTCTGGAAGACAAGAGTTGGGTAGAAGTGTAAACGCGCGTTTCTTTGCATAAAGCCATTTGCAGAGTATGAAGGGATAGTTGGGGGGGGGGGGGTGGGGGAGGGAAGAGAGAGAAATGCTCAACTGAACCTAAGCCTTCATTTGAAGGGTAGAGAATGGCAACCTGGCTTTGAAGGAGCGCATGAGGGAATGGGGCTTTTTATTCATAGAGGCTATTTAGGGTGAAAAAGGAGAGGAGGGGCTCTGACCCTGAGAGGAAATGCCCCTTTGCGGGCTTTGTTACCTCAGGATCTGGACTGGAAGGGGAAACGAAGTGCGGGCGGGGAAGGCGGCATGGGGGTTTCTTGGCCCCTTCCCCGCAGAGACTGGCCGACTGACAGGCGGAGTCGAAGGCACCCGCTCCTGCCCCAGCCTCGCGCAACCCTCACGCGACCCCAGGCAGATTTCCTCCGTCTCACCCCCACCCCCCGCGAGACACCCCCCCCTTCTCCTCGCGGGCTTCCACGCGCACCGCGCCTTGGTGTAATCACCCGCGCGCCAGAGAGCCGCGTTCTCCTTCTCCTCTACCTCCTCCCCCCTCCTCCTCACGCGCCGGCGTTCCCAAAGGACTTTCCCCCACACCCTTTCCCCCCACCCTTTCGCTTTCCCTCCACCCCTTTCTTCCTTACACGCAGATCCGCACGAGCTCTCCGTTTCTTATTCTCCGCTGTTGGTTCGTCCGCCTCACAACGCGCGAGCGCGCCCACCTTTTCCCCCGTGCGATTCGCCCTTCCGCATGCCTATCAACTTCCCGGCCCCGTGATCACGGGGTGCCGTTGGCCACGCTCAGCCGTCAATCACAGGCGGCCCCACCTTCTTCCCGTTGTGCCTCCATTGTGCCCCTGAAGAAAAGACGGCCTCCTGGACCGCCCACCCGCATGCTTGGAGATGATTGGTGTAGAGAGACTTCCTTTGGAAAGTGTCTCGGTTCGATAGGGTAGATTCGTGTGCTGCTGTTTCCTACATCTGCTCACATGAGGGGTGTAGTCGCAGTTTATTCGACGATAATGATGTCTATTGATTTTGAATGCGCCTTCCGAAGTCGAATGAGGACGCGGCCCCCAGCTTACGTGTCCGATTGGGCAAATCTGCTGCCTATCAAATTGTTTACGTGTTCCTCCTCCAGTCGCGCCTTATTTGGAACAGCGTCCTGATTGCGCATATTAGGCACAGAGCAATATTTCCCTATTGAATAATTGAATGTCAAATAAATGTAACCGCCCTCTCTTACAAAGACTGCACAGCCCGCCCCCGCTTATCTTCATTGGTCAAACGCAATGCTTATCAATGAGTAAGACATGCCTCCAAAGCTCATTGGATAGTTCAATGAACTTGGGCCAAATCATCCTCTTTCTTCACTTCCTGTGGGCGTGCCCCCACCCTTGTTGATAAAAGAGTAGCGTTCTCCTAAGCCTGACACCGTAATCGTTTTGAAGATGGGAGATCCACTGACCGAGCCTCGCTGCCCTTTCTGTAGATACCGCCATTTGAAATCTCCCGCCATAATGCCGCCATTCTCTATTGGTTCGACTGATCTATCCGCGTGCCTTAGCATTAAGCAAGTTTACTGGTCAACTCAGCTGTCTATCACTGAGCATTCACACGATTTGGTTCGGCTTACAAAGCCACGCCTATTATGAGGAGAAACCCACAGAAACAGAAAGTTTAGATTTGTCCATTAGGTCACTTCAAACTTTTTTGAAGTACTGAAAGTGAACGAAAATCTCACCCTTTCCAACCTTAACCCTCTCGAAATCCAGTTTTAATTCATTCTAAATATCCTCATTCCACTGGTATAAATTTAAGAGGAGATATTTAATTATGGCCCCGCCTAAATAGCAGCACCTAATCAATCTTGCAGAACAGTTAAATGCTGACAGATAGGAGACCACCAGGAATTTCCCAGGAAAATCATGTTAATGGTGGCAAAACCGAACAATGGCCCCGAGTACAGGCACTCCTTAAATGGGGTGCTAAGAATCTCCCGGTCTGCTAGAAGCATGATAAACCCAAAACTACGAATTGGTACGTGGAATCTGAGAAGCCTATACGAAGCTGGGAAAACACACAACACTATCCAAGAAATGTCCAAATACAGTATGTCTATATTGGGAGTGAGTGAAATGTGCTGGCCTGAAAATGGAATGTGTAGAATAGGAAATTATACTATTTACTACTCTGGTGAGAATAGCAAACACCATTGAAATGGAGTAGCTATAATTGTAAACAATCGTGTAAATAAATGCATCAAGTCCTTTATTCCTGTATCCGATAGTGATAATGATCCAAATAAATAGTACTCCAGTAAATATGAATGTTATACAAGTTTACGCTCCCACAGCTGACAGCGATGAGGATTTAGAGAAGTTCTACGAAGATATAAGCAGTGTACTGAAAACCCTAAAAAGTAATGATATCACAATACTCATGGGGGACTTCAGTGCAAAAGTGGGAGAAGGAAGTGATGCTCCTGTAGTTGGAAACTTTGGCTTAGGAACCAGAAATGGTAGAGGTGACAGATTTGTAGACTTCTGCAAGGAACATAGGCAATGTGTGATGAATACTTTTTTCAAGTTGCCAAAAAGATGCCTCTACACTTGGAGATCACCAGCAGATACACAAAATAATGTAGTAAGGAACCAAATTGACTATTTTACAATAAACAAAAGATTTAGAAACTCAGTAAAATCAGTAAAGACACACCCAGGTGCAGATGTACCATCAGATCATAATCTACTACTTGCTGAAGTCTAGCTGAAACTAAAAAGGATGAAAAACCCGAACCCTGCTAAACCAAGAATCGACAGAGACTTCATCATTAAACATGGAGGTAAGATTAAAGAAGAACTAGAAAATCATTTAAGGGAAACCAACAACCTGAATGATGATGATGTAGAAGCGAACTGGAATAAATTCAAAAATGCAATAGTAGAGGTAACAAATTCAAAACAGAGAGAGGCGTACCACAAGAAACAACAGTGGATGATGGAGGAAATTCTTCATCTCACGGATGAAAGAAGATCTTATAAAAATAAAAACAAAGAAAAATACAATGAATTGCAGAAAACAGTTAGAAGAAAAATTCGACTGGCAAAAGAAAAGTGGTTTGCAAAGAGATGCAAGGAAATAGAAGAGACAGAACGTATACATGATAATTTCAATTTACACAAAAAAGTGAAAGAAGCAGCAGGCCTCTACAAAAAGAAAACCAACAACTTAGTTGACAAAGAGGGGAAAATTATCTTAGATGAGGATGAAAAACTAAAAAG